TGGGAGTTTTTCTTATCTGTTGGATTCCTTTCACTCTTTCTACGACTTTTAACCCTTTGAGTAATTACACAATACCAGCTGCTGTGATTGCAGCATTTAAGTGGCTTGGATGGTCAAATTCAATGCTCAATCCATTAGTCTATGCTTTCTTTTACAGCTGGTTTCGATCAGCTTTCAGAATGATCATTTCTGGGAAAATATTTCAAGGTGATTTCACTCATTCTAAGCTCTTTTGACTCATTATGTGTTGAAATGTCAGTAATATCATCATTGAACATTGCATGTCATATATATAGGCCTTCATGAAAATTGTCACTGTACTGTGCATAAAGTATCTGTATATACAACTCAGTGCACAGATAGCAGTACATATTCAACTGCATGATAATCTCAATGTGAAAACAGTAGGATAAATATATCTTACTGTTCGGCTTATTTACTGTTATTCAGTTATAGACGCTGTATCTGTGTGTTGAATGCAGGAGTGCATCACTGAGTTTTTGTCTTCGTAAGAAAAGCTTTAAACTGACCTGTAACGAATTAATGAATGGTGAAATCATCTTTCTCTTAGATTAGTTTTCAGTTTCATCATCTAATCATCGTCTAAATATTAAATAGAGCTGGGTAACTGTAAAGTCCTGAATAAGACTTTTTTATTTACAGATTCTAAGATTTAAATCAATTAAAGCGGCAAATCTTAGCAGCAAGTTGTACATTTTCCACAACAATATGAAGATTACACTGAAGAATTATGTACAGTTTTACCGTACAAAAATAGCATTCTTTATTTTACAGGCACTTTTTTGTGCAAATTCTCATTTTCTCTGCTTTTACACTTTTGAAGATGCTGTGAATCCCAGACAAAACAGAGAACCTGTCTGTTTTTGTGGTCCATGATGATCATGGTTATTTGCTGTGTCTCCAGCATAGACTGATTCTGAAAGATGTTTAATTTAAGTAGAATCAACTCATGTATTTATTGTGAAGGTAAATTGGGTTAATAAAGTGCATTGTACCAATTCCATTCAGTTAATTGAAGTTACACTTATATGCAGCATTTCTCTAAACTTACTTAAAATGTGACAACAGAATTTTCTGAATAAAATAACTTTATTCAGACAGCAACAGCTGTAAAAACAGCTGTAAAAACCTTTTTGTTTATGTGACTAACATCAAATCTTTACACTTTGGGTGATCATTAAGAATTATTTGGATGCATACTTGGGCATATGATTATTAATACATTGAAATTAAAGAAAAATCCTAACATATTCTATGCTATTTTAAGCTATTCAGAATAATAATGCTTACATTTCTCAAATGATATAAAGTCACCTTAAAGAAAATAAGTCAATGGAACAAACTAGAATTATATTGCAAATACTTAAAATACTGCAAACATTCAGTTTTTAGTTAGATTTAATTCATGTGAATGAGTGACTCCAGTTTCTTGGAGGATTAAGTTATGTTAACTTACTTCTATTATTAAATATGTTGTCACATCTTAATGGTCTTATTAGGGCAGCTTGATAATAAGGAGTTGCAGTAATCTTTCTGTGACAGGATGTGTCAGATTTTTGCAATGTTATGTAAGTGAAAAAAGGCAGTCCTAGAAGTTTGCTTTATGTGGGAGTTAAAGGACATATCCGTTTTTATGTCCTCAAGGCATGCTTGTATTTTAACTAATTGTACATTTCAGGCTTGATCGATTGATATAACTGGATATAAAAAAAAAAAAATTTAAATGAGGAAAAATGCAAAAGTTGTCTTCATTAAATGTTTTTCATATTATTTTTTTAAACACTGTATATGTGTGCATGTATTTGACATTTTACTTGTTATGAGTTCATTGATATGAAATACGTTTGTGTTCCTTCTGGTTTCTGAGATACAGCCAATTGATTATCATACTATATTTAGTCTTTGGGCACATGGGACTGCTGTTTTTTCCTAAAATGGTAGAAAATTCCTAAGGATAAGCAATACAAATATTTTCAGTACACACATGCAACAGGCTCCTATCTTTATATTCAACATAAAGTTGCACACAACTATTATTAGCCATACAGCAGGTGAAAACATTCACTTGGCCATTCTCCATTAGTTTCAATTGGTTTTAATGGCCATTAAACCAAATGAAAGTGTGTCTGTTTACTTCTTTTAAACCTTACATCTTTTTTTTTTTTAGGTAACGTCTTTTATATATATATACACTGTGTTCCAAATTATTGTGCAAATATGATTTCAATTAAAGAAACATTTGATTTTTTGTTTTTCAATGAAAGTTTTCAATTGTGCTGGATGGTCCAGATGGATGGAGTTCTGGATGGCCACCATGTCCCAACAAGGCTGCGATGTCAG